GTAATTGCTTTATTATCCAACTGCACTTGGAGCTTCTTTATTCCCATTCTACGAGCCAACTCTAAACCATATTCTACTGCAAGAACCTCGGCTTTGAAAGGCTACACAATGACCCAACTTCAGCGAGTAGGCATAGCTAATTTTACCCGTGCTGTCACGAATTAAGCCTCCTTCTCCAGCTAGGCCAGGGGCTCCTTTAGCAGCCCCATCTGCATTTAAGGCATACCACCCAACAGGTGGAGCATTCCACTTAATAAAGGTCTCCCTTCTAACAGCAAGTGTATGCGAGCTATCTACTATCCCATCCCCCATTACTTGCCATACCTCCTGAAACCGATCAAGCAAGAATTGCTTCACATCAATTGGCATATCACTTGTGTTACCAAAGGCTACGACATTTCTCCATCTCCATAACCACCACACAACAATCGCAAAATAAGTCGGCTAGATTTCGGGAGACATGTCATTATGAACTTACACCTTAATGTTACGAACTTGCAAAAGTCATATCCATTGTTTTAGGGAACCATTACGGAAGTCAGGGGAATTGGCAGGGCCACCCACCTGTAGCCAAACTTCCCTCGCAGCCTTGTAATCTCTAAGGATATGACTTGTGCTTTCCTCAATGTTCGAGCAAAGTTTGCAGCATGGATCTTCAGTCAAGGACCTTTTAAATCTATTAGCATTGCTCATTACTTTGTCGTGCAAAACCAACCATAAGAAAACTTTAATCCGTTGCTGGACTTGAAGTCTCTACACCAGCTCCCACGACCCATCCTCACGAGTTTCATCCTCCTGTCTAATGATCTGCAATGCAAATTTAATGCTGAAACGCCCCTTTGTACCATTATTCCAGTATAATAAATCACCTATTTCTGGGTTCTTGATCAAGGAGTGAGCCTCAAGATATCTTGTGGCAGGATATCAGCAAAGCTAACCCATTTCCACCCCTGCACTTCATCCCACAACTCTGCTATTGTTGCGCCTGCTATGTTCAGGGGGATGGCTGAGGTTCCAAGCTCTCTTAGAGTTTTCGAGCTTACCCACCTGTGATCCCAGAATAGAGTGGTTGAACCATCACTCACAGCAACTCTAGCTCCCTTAGAGATAAACGTGGCATTCTCGGTAATTCTTCTCCAAACATTAGACATATTAGCCTTAGCTTCAAACGTATCAACATCACATCGACCTTTACAATATTTGCTCCTTAGAACTCAAGCCCATAAGGCATTAGGCTCGGTAAGAATTCTCCATCCAAGTTTTGCCAAGAAAGCTAAATTAGCTTGTCTTGATGCTTGAATGCCTAGCCCTCCCATATCTCTTGGTTTTTGGAGATTTTCCCATGAAATAAGGTGAATCTTGCGCTTTTTACCATCCCCTCCCCAAAGAAACCTCCTTGTTCTTTTATCAATGTCATCGCATATAAAAACGTGGAATCCTAGCAGTTTTCATAGCATAGGAGGCCATAGTCGATATAGTTGACTTCGCCAAAGTAATTCTACCTGCCAGAGAAAGGTGTTTAGATTTCCAGCCTGCCAATCGTCTATCAATTTTTTCACACAAATAGCCAAAAGTGTCCTTTGTAACACGACTGGTAAGGGTCGGCATTCCCAAATAGCTGCCCAAATCAGTCGTTTCTTCAATTTCCAGAAAATTGGTGATGCCACTTTTTTTGGATTCTCTAGTATTTCCAGAGAAGTAAACCCTTGATTTGGAGAAACTAACTCTCTGCCCTGATGCTGTACAGAAGCGAGATAAACATTGTTTCACATAGCCATTTTGTTCGATAGTGGCTTCGGCAAAAAGTATAATATCATCCGCGAATGCCAGGTTTGAGAGCTTAGGACCATCTCTGCTAACCCTTATTGGCTTCCATCGATCCAAAATAATCGATTCTTCAATAATCTGGTTGCGGCGTTCCATACACAAAACGAACAAATAAGGTGACAATGGGTCACCTTGTCGTATCCCACGTTTAGAAGAAAAGGCCTGTGTTGGTTCACCATTCCATAATACCTTCATGGAGGAGGTTGTGATACACTCCATTATAACATCAACTAAAAGGATAGGATACCGAATTTCCATTAAGGTATATCTAATAAAATCCCATCAAAGCCGATCATACGCCTTCTCAAAGTCGATCTTTTTGGCTCTATCTAAGCGGGCACTTCTCCATGTTTGAACAAACGTGCTTCTTGCCCAAGTGTGAGAAGCACCACTGAATTCTATCTCTAGCAACCCAATATCCTCTACCCATTCTTTAAACCGGCAGACCTTCTTGAAGTTTCAGCACAACTTGAGCTACGTTCCCATTGAAATCTTGTCTCGTTAAAATCCCCTGCCACCATCTAGGGAACATTATTAGTAGAGGCAAACTCTTTTAACTCTCTCCATAATTCTTGTCTCTTGGAGGGGTCAGGGCTTGCATATACAGCCGTGAAATACCACGGTATGCCAGCTACACATTTAATCTCCATTTTTATGAATTGGTTACGCTTGTAAATGGGTTCTACAGTAACAAGGTCTCGTTTCCAATAAATCCATATACCACCCGAGAAACCTTGTGCATCTACTGTCGTATGACCATTGTAGCCAATTACATTAGTAATTCTTTCTGCTTGGGCACCACCCATATGAGTTACTACGAGTGCAATGACATTCGGTTTATTGATTCTAATTATTTTCCTTCAAGGCAAAAATAAAATCTCTGCTTCCTGCTCCTTGCACGTTCCAAATCATGCAAGATATCGGCAGTGAATTAGATGTTAAATTCGCAAGTTGTTCATTCATCTTAACTATAGAGGAGTTCAGATTGCTAAAAAAAAAAAAAGTTCCATTGACATGGGTCAGGGGGTCGGCTATGGTCAGGTAAGGAAGCTCCATTGGCTGCCCTACAAAAATCGTTTTCTTCGGAGGGATTCGAAGAGAAATCACATTCTGCGGATATATCTCCATGGGAGTCTACTTCAATTAAATCCTCTGTTTCTTCTACTACAATTTGGATAGCTTCTTGAGTATTAGGCTTTTGGCCTGGTATGTGCCTTTTGTAAAAGCTGTTGCTGTGAAAATAATATTCTCCTTCTCTGGGAACTGGCTTTGTTTTTGGCTTGATGAAGAGGGCTTCGTAGGTATTTCGTTCTCAATAGGCTTTAGAGGGCTTATTTTTTGGTTAGTCAATTTTTGGGAATTGTTTTTCCCATTAATATTGCCTTTTTTATTTTTTTGGAAAATTATCATTGCTATTTTTTTTTTAACTCCAGGCTGTTGAACAAAATCTTTAGGAATATTTTGAGATTCCTCTCCTAAATTGATAGTCATTATTCTATCACTATCTTCAATCAAAGATTGTGTTGGGATATTTACCATATCTTTTGTATGCATATCTTCTAAGGAGTTGACTTTTTTTTTTTTGCCATATGGGATTTTCAGTTTCCTTGTTTAACGCCTCAAATCTTGATCCTGATTTCCCCACCATATTCTGTTTTGAATTTTGAATTGGCGCTCCATTTTGTTCTATGACTGTGGTGGTCTGACCATCTTTTCCGGCTCCCGGAGGTGCTTTATCCGGTTTGGTATACCTCTTTCTCACTGGTTTCTTCACAAGCATCCATGATCCAAAGTCATTCTCCTCTTCCAGTTTCAAAGCCTTATCAATCTCTTTATTCAAGCCATGGTCATGTTGATTAGTAACAATTTTGTTTACTTGGTCAACAATCATATCTTCATTCGCATGTTTTGAAGCACATTGGTCCTCAACATGCCCCAATTTTCCACATTTGTAATAGATCAATTTGATCCCTTCGTATTGTATTCTCCAGATTTTCCCTTTAAGCCAAAATTTTGACAGAAGTGGTTTCAAAAGATCAATTTCGACAGTCAATCTAGTAAATTGCCCACGTTCCGCATATGCAGTGGACTTGTCTACTCGAATGACCTTCCTAATTTTTGCACCAATTTTTTTTTAAGAACTCCTTGTCAAAATACTCTACTGACAAATTTGGGATTCTAACCCAAGCTGTCAAAACCTAGATCGAGGCTTCCTCTGGGATAAAATTAGGCGTCCATTTCCTTATGGTACGGTATTTTTCATCAATTAACCATGGCCCAGCAAAATTATAATCATCTTGGTTGCTAAACCTAGCAATGAAATACTTGCAACCAATATCAGTAAGAGACATATCTCCTTTCAATTGCCACTTCTTCTTAAGCCTCTTCATACATCCCAGACTTCCATCGAACATTCGGACGGATTATGAGGGTATTCCTCCATGGTCACCGAGTAGCTCTCTTTTCCTCCTTAGTAAGAAGAATAACCGGACATCTATCATTCCCCTCAAAGTCATCAGGTGGGACATCATCGTCGTCTTCATCATAGGACAGGATGTTATTTGTCGCCATAGCCTCCAATTGAGTATCCCTCACTAAATCCCTAAAAGACCTATGAGGTTGTTTTGACTTCCAGACCCTATAGCAGCTTCCTTGCTTAGATTGACTGGCTGTATCGAGTTCAAATCAATCTCCATATTAGGGTTATCTCCATTTTCGGATTTATCGAAAATTAAATGTGGAATTTTGCGTTTCGGTTTCTTATTAGATCTGTCCACTTGATTCGTGACCTCCGGTGGAATTGGCGGTGGTTGGGCATTTTGATGGCTAGGTTCCATTCTCTTTACTTAATTCCTTAATTTATGTTTACAATTACATAGGCACGTTGTATTTTTACATTTCTCTCTCTTTTTCCCACTACTTAAAAAACTTATAAAAAGAGATACATAATAAATACAAAGTAAATACTGAGATCCCTCCGTCCCTAAATATGTTCCCGTTAATTTATAAGAGATTATATGTTCATGTGGATCTTGCTGGATTCGTCACATTATATATTTTATTAATCAAGTTTTTATAATTTTTACGCGTATGAAAATAGAGATATAGACGTTTTGAGTCACGTCTTGGAGATCGTAAAAAGTCAAATGAAAACTATATTTAGGGAAGGAAGGAGTATATATAAAAGGAGAGTTAAATAACACTTCCTATGTTCATTTCCTAAGAACTTGTTTATTGGAATCTCTTATTTAAGGAGCCTAAATTTTGATCATGAGTACTCACCATAATATTAGGAAAAAAAAAAGGTTGATGTAAGATTGTATCTAGATGAATTGTTTTAAAAATTAAAATATTAAGATTGATCATAGTTTTAGTTGTGTTTAGAGTTTTGTCACATTCTTCTCGCCAAATAATTTACACTTAATTTTTTTTTTTTTTGAGTCAAACATATATGAATAATACATTGCTCGAAACCAATCACCTTATCTATAATTCCATAATTAAAGTACATAAACCTCTATAGTTAGGAAATATGACCTGGTCATGTATTGTAGCTGGATTCAAGAAATCTAACCTCAAGTCACAAAGCCCAAATTTAAAAATAAACACAATACTCCAATAATTTAACCTATGAATAAGGAAAAAAAAATGTCTCCAAAAAAAGGCAAATACATCTTTAGGTTTCCAATCAAATGACTTCCAAAAAAAAATTAACCATGTAAAACCTAAATCTTATCAATTAACACCCTCAAATTACACCACCGCCTCCGCCTCCGCCTCCACCTCCACCTTCTCGAGCCCTTTACACAATGGGGAGAGGCGGCGTCCTCCCCTACTAACACCACCACACAACTGCATGGCATGGAAATCGAACGCATCACCCTCTTGTAAACGGAGGGTGATGGTGGTGGCGGACGCTACCGCCGAGTCGGTGGCCGCCCTACAATACGTTCTTTCCCATGCAATGCAGGATAATGATGACTTAATTCTCATGCACGTAACACAACCTACCAAAAAATCCCACCTGTTGATAAAATCCTTTTTTAGACGTCATTCTGACCCCGGCTTGGCAGGGATATCTAACTTTGATCCCACGGCTGATGTCGGGGAGGGTGGTGGCGGCAGTGGTGGCAAAGATTTCCTAGAGGTTATGAAGAGGGCATGTAAAGGGACGTTCCCGAATTCGAGGGTTTGGGTTGAGAAGGTGGAACAAGGGAGTTTGGATAATAAGGGGGCTGTTATTTTGCTAAGGTGTAAGGAATTGATGGTTGATTTACTTGTTGTTGGCCAACGTCGTCACCTTGTGTCTGTTCTTTTAGGGTATGATTTTTTTTTTTAATTATTCTTCTTTATTTTAGTTGCATGTTTATATGATCATCATAATATATAATTTAAAAATTTGTGTTAAAACCATTGTTTTCTTTTGGTGATTGTGTTTATACAATTGTTAAATTAAATCTCTGCTGCCTATTGTATTGTTTGGACGTATGAAAGAATTCATAGAAATCTATAATTAACTTATATAATTAATATTGATTAATTGAAGATCAATGAATTTAGTTGATAAAAGCATATATCATCTTCTGATTTTTAATTAACTTTTTTAAAAATCTATTTATTCATTTCAATTTCATGCAAGGGGTGTTGTATGATGATATGATGTATAAGGGGAAATTGAAATACTATTTGGTGTAATACTATATACATATAATTAGATCTCTTATGCAAATAATGTAATTGATCAATGATCATATCATTTTGTAACATATTATCTTTGGTTTATATGACAGACCAAGAAGATCTTTTAGTACTGGCTCAACAGTATTACGAGGAGGTGCACCAAAATCAGTAGACATGGTTGAATATCTAATAGAAAATAGTCCATGCACTTGTGTGGCAGTGCAAAAGAAGGGACAAAATTCAGGCTATATTCTCAATTCCAAAACTCATAGAAATTTCTGGCTTCTGGTCTGAACCATTTTCAAAGGATTACATGTTTTTTTAAATCCTTAAAAAGCACTAGAACGAATATCGCAGTTAGACGGTACATTGGGATCAGAATGAAGCTTCTAGATCGATAAGCCTTTATTCGGACTTCATTAGCCAAATTAAGTATGTAATGCTCTTCATATTGTACTGTAATACTCAACGAGACGAGCTGATAAGAGATTCAATCGTTGGAGAAACATTGTACTCTGTTAAAGATTATTCTAGCTCATGTTGAGTTGAAGATTGAATTCAATTCTAAGCTAGCTTATAAGTTCAATAGAGTATGTAAAATGTCTATGGTAGTCGGATCAATTATTGGGGCACGTCACAGAAAATGCTTGATATATCTCTGATCTAAGTGTGCATGATTATTCATAAATCATTTCATTCACAAACGTGAATGATATACACGAATCACGTCGAAGACTAACTTGAAGGCACAAAATAAGAAAGCTCAATCCATGCCAAGCACCTTTATTGTGCATCTCGGATAGATATGCACATAAGTTGGCAATAGTGTATAGATTTTGGTAAAGGGGGTGTTTGTATATTAATAGCAATTGGCTTTATAATGTGGTCAAACAATTAATAAGTGTCGATAATATTTAATTTATAAATGTTCTTAAAAGGTTTGTAAAAACTCATCGATCTTTGATGTATTTTAATATCACTAAATTTTATAAACTACTCCATATTAAAGATCTTGAAATTTAGCATCTCAAACGCGTATATATATGATTCTAGCAAATGACATTTCGAGCTCAAACATATATGATCAAACTCACGACATTGAGGCTATGCCATCAAACTTCTTCGATCTTGAGCCAAATATATAAGAATGATCAAACTTGAGCACCAATAATTCGTAGGCTTCGTTTTTAAATCTTATAACTCATAAGTGGTCATGCACAATAGCTATCACAAATAATAAACAAGAGATGTTTATGTTTGATTGAAAAATAATGTTAGTTGATCGTTTAAAGTTTTGGACATTTTTATTTTGTATTGGTTAAATTGATAGCTAGACTAGAACTTCAACCTTTTGTTGTTTATATGTTGTTTATTAGTTTTATTATTCCATTATGCAATACAAAATCCTTTAATTCAATTACTATAAGCTAATTAAGCCTGTTGCCAATCTTCAAATTTCTTGTTACAATATTTGTTGGTCAAAATCCTTAATATATACACCCATATATATCAAACTATTGGAGCATTTAACTCAAATATAACCCGATCCTTTAAGTCTATACTCTATTTATACTATTATTGCATTAATGCATGTTATGTTGATCGCCGTCTAATCAAATCCATGGATATTAATTTAGGGATATGCTCTTAGATAAAGTGAAGTTGGAGAATATGGCTTCTCATGTTATCGAATGGGGAAATTTTTATTAGCAAATTTGGAGATATATATGGAAGAACTATATTTGGTTGGCAATATTTTGTCCTTTTAATTAATTTTTGCATCAAAAAAAGTGACATTTGGATAGAGAAAGAACCTTACAACAATGTCATGCTTGTGAGTAAGAGCTCATGTCTCGTGAACTCCCACAACTACCAAATCCTCTAGAAAACATACTTGATTAAACTCTTATTCAATTTTGATCATGCAAGTGTTGAAACATTATCCACCAATTTTTCTTTTTTACTTTTTTATGTAACAAAATAAAAAATAAAGTATGATATAATATTAAATAATTAAACCATACAATAAAAAAAAAGTTGGTGGAATTTAGAAATGCACACAAGGTAATATGGGCATAAAAATTTGGTCAAAAGTTACATATGGTTGACATATACAACTATACAAGATTAAGTATTGAATAAGTAGTAGTGTAGTACATATTCCACAATTTAATTGAAACTTCAACGAAGACATGATTTTGTTTTTCCATGTAATTGATCCAATATATATTCTACAAGTCAAAGGTAAAAACAAATTGAATTGTATAATGTAATGCTAAATATATGACAATGATTTTTTTGTAAAGAAACTATCAAACTAGGGAATTGAAAATAACTTTCAAAGGACCGTGTATTATTTGTACAGAAACTAGGGAAAATAACTTTGAATGATGCGGACTTTGGGTCGTATTTAATATGACACTAGTATGAGAAAAAATTACACATTACTTCCACAAGACCACAATGGGTTGTTTACAATTTGTCATGATCTAATTTAGCGGGTTAAATAAAAATGTACGGAGTATTTTTGAAATAACTTTTCGTAAGCTGTCAATACTCCAACCTAGTTTTGATCAATTCAAAGTGTTTTATTTAAGAGGGTAATATTTACAATATTTTATTCACTTGAAGTTTTGGTATACACAATGATGATTTATAAATTTATTACTCCTTTCATTTGATTAAATTTCTATATGTATATAATCTTTTGAGGCATATACACTTTTAATATATTTCTAAATTTATACTTCTTTTGTTTTTTTTTTAAAACTTGTAACATTCTCTTTTCACATTTGTCGATACACTTTTTCAATCGTTAATATTTTTAATTATCAATGTGTAAAAATTATAAAATTTGATATTATGAAAGTATAAATCGAAACGAGTCTAACAAGATTCCACATGACTGTATTTTTCTATTCGTAATCTATAAACCACTAAAACTAGTCAAAGTGAGACATGTGAATAGTGTAAAGTCAAACTGTTGCAAGTTAAAAAAATGGAAGGAAATATAATTTTGCTAATGCAAGACAAATTCATGCATAAATTAGTGTAATTAATATTTACTTCCCCGGTTCTATTTTACTTGACCTATTTCTTTTATCACGCTTGTCAATTCACAATTTTAACCATCAATAACTTTAATTCTCTATAAGTAAAAATTTTAAAAGTTATATATTGTGATAGTTAGACGATTCTAACAATTTTCACATGAACATGTTTTTCCTTACATGTAGTTAACAAAAGACGGTCAAAGGTGGGGTGATAAACAGTGTAAAAGTCAAAACGAATCTAGTAAAAAAGGACGGAGAAAGTATATAAACAAGTTCATCATTTTACTCCTTACAAATTTAAAATAAAAAATTATTAATGGTCAAATGAAAGGGCAAAATGCAAAGGAAGATCCATAAAGAGCAAAAAAAAAAGGAAAAAAAAAGGTTGTCAACATCATAGAAAGGTGACGCGTGGAACAGAAACCCATGAAGAAGAAGAAGCCCGTTTGCAATTCACGGAATTTGAAAAAAGAGACTTTTCTTTTGTTTTCCTTTCCTTTCCACCCCTAAAATAATTAATTGGTTGGGAGGTCAAAAAAATTGAGTCTTTCTTTTGCCATTGTTTGGTTGCAAAACTCATATTTCTCCCACTCCAAAAAAATCACTAGTATAGTATTATTGTACAGAAGAGAGAGAAAGAGGAGAGAGAAAGAGATGGATTGTTTCGAAGCATTGCACTCAACAGAAGGAAACCAAGAATCTAAAATAAAAGGTGTAATGACGCACGGTGGTCGTTATGTTCAGTACAATGTCCACGGCAGTTTATTTGAGGTTTCTTCTAAGTATGTTCCTCCTATTCGTCCCATTGGTCGTGGTGCTTCTGGCCTCGTATGGTATGTTTTCATTTCAATTTTCTTTGTTTTTTGTTAATTAATGCTCATTTATTATGTGGATTTCTGTTCTTGTTTGATTTTTGGTGTGTTTTTCTTGTAACAACTAACAAGTGATTGTAGCACATGATGGTTTTGATGTTAGTCAAGTCATGTTGACAGTGTAATTTAAAAGAGCATACAAGCAATAGTCTAAAGATGGTGTGTCACTATATTTTTTATTTATCATGAGACGTTATAACTTACTCTGTATCTGTATTTGTATTTGTATTTGTATAAAGAATAAAAGTCATTAACAATAAGTTACTGTGAGACTGTCTCGTTCAAAATAGGTGATAAGACTTACATGTTCTCTAATGTGTAAGATGGTTCGAGTTTTGTAAAATGGGTTAATTGATGTAATTGGTTTTTGGTATTTGGAAAATTTGATTGGTATTTGGTTGAAATTAAAAATTTTGGGTTGATTGACTTATTAGAGCTAGATGAAAGGGGGTTTGTATTTAAACTGTACTTTGTCTCTTTTGATGTCTTGCTTGAAACTTTGACTATTTATTGTGTCTTGCTAATAATTTTTGAAGCATGTATGAATGAGGCTGAAAAGTTGTTGTACTTGCATGTTTCAGAAGAGCTATTTTTTCTTTGATGAAACCAAAACAAAAATCATAAGAATTTATTATTCATTCATCTACTAATTTATTTGTTTTAGGAGATCAAAACAGAAAAGTGTTGTTTATGATTGTTAATGAGCAAATACTGTATCATTTCTTGTCAGTCCATGATTGAAAATAGATGCTGTGATTGTGATTGGTGGTTGTTATTACTAATGAACACTACTATAGTAGCTATTGTTAACCCATGAGACGCTGTGAATCTATGATTGTTGATGAATGCATTGTTATCTTCAATTGGAGGATGAACTTTGTTAAAGTATCTCTTGTTAGCCCATGACTCGAGATAGAAGCTGTGAATCTGTGATTATTGTTGATAAGTGTATTGTTATCTTTAATCTAAATTAGTTGTGAAGGATGGATGCTGCTAACACTACTTGAGTTTGAATTATACAAGTATTGTAGTTCTAAGACTAGAACTTTCCTGATTGCTCAAATAAGGCTAATTTTCAACTTAAAAGAGAAAATTTGCCAAAGGAAATTTCATAGATAACTGTCTTTTTTCCCCTGCCCTTTTGGTTGCTTTCTGTGCGTATTTAGCTTTTCTATAGACTTTTTCATCAAGGGTGATCCGTCTCAAAGTACATAGGAAAGAGTTCGTGTTAGTTTGACTTACATGATGTAGGGAAATGACTAATGCCATATGGGTTTACAACTGTCACGTCTGTCAGAGAAATAACACAATTCTTTCTTTCCAGTGCTGCTGTGAACTCAGAGACACACCATGAGGTTGCTATCAAGAAGATTGGTAATGCATTTGACAACATAGTAGATGCAAAAAGAACTCTGAGAGAGATCAAACTACTTCGCCATATGGACCATGAAAATGTGAGCTTGCTTTTGCAGTTTCATTATGTGTTAGCCTTCTAGCTGTAAAGATTTCGCTTTTCATAAGTACAATCTCTAATTATTGCATTTAGTTTTTTGCTGCAATAGTACACTTCTTCATGTAAGGTTGGTGGTGAATACCAAAAACTTTCATGATGCATTTCTCCTATTTGTCCCAATGTAAATGTTGGTACGGAGTATCAGTAGTCTCTAAATTTTATCAGAATTTAACTTTCTTGGCTTGATGCAGATTATTGCCATTAAGGATATCATCCGACCACCAAAGAAAGAAGCATTCAATGATGTTTACATTGTTTATGAACTAATGGACACTGATCTTCATCAGATAATTCGCTCTAGCCAAGCTTTGACTGATGATCATTGCCAGGTTTGTCATGATATTACTGCAATTGAGATCAAGTTCTCTGGAATCCCCATGTGTTTTGGTTCAAAGGGAAAAGAATTCATGTTAATGGAAATTGAGTTTCAAATCAGTTTGCTTTGAATAAGCCTTACTAAAGAAGGTGAAAAAAGGAAATGCATGAGAAGGAAATTGAAAGAATATGGAGGAAAAATGACATTGCTTCCTTTGAAAAGAGAACTCTTTTCCACCCTTGAGTGAATGTTTTTCCAAAAAATTATTTTCACTCCTATACAAACCAAGCGGTAGAAAATGAGAATAACTGTTTTTCTGAAAAATGATTTCATTTCTCTACCAAACGCAACTTATTGTGGCACATTTGTTTCTGTTAAACTAGAATACTATAAGATTCTCAAGGTAAACTGATCAAATCTCACTCTACTTGGATAATTTTTTAAACTAGTTCATGGTTTAGGATATCTCTGAAGTTTTAATAAATCTATATTTGCACTGTAATAAACATGTAATTTACCCATTGAACTTGCTGTTAGCTTTGCTCAATATAAGTTGTTAAAGAGACTGTTATTTTTTTTGTGAATTGCAGTACTTCTTATACCAGCTATTACGTGGTTTAAAATATGTACACTCTGCAAAGGTCTTGCATCGCGATCTCAAGCCCAGTAATTTACTTCTAAATGCAAACTGTGACCTAAAGATTGGAGACTTTGGGCTGGCTAGGACCACCACTGAGACAGATTTTATGACCGAGTATGTTGTAACTCGCTGGTATCGAGCACCTGAATTGCTCCTTAATTGTTCAGAATACACAGCTGCGATTGATGTCTGGTCTGTTGGTTGTATATTTGGTGAAATCATGACAAGAGAACCCTTGTTCCCAGGCAAAGATTATGTTCACCAACTGAGGCTTATTACTGAGGTAAAGTTCTGCCCTCCCTCTCTTATCTTCTAGTTACATTTTATTCCTCTGAAGTTCAGTTCATGAGGAAGTATGTTCGAAGCTCAGACTTTGAAGTACTTGGTTAAGCTTGAGGAAGGCATCCTCTGAGGTTAGCTTGATACTTGATGTCTTGTCAGCTGGTAATTTCTACTTGTATTAAATATAATAGCCAACCTCTTATTTACATGGCCTAGAAATGATCATGCAAATATTATTAATTTCATGGATCTAAGTACATTAGTGTATCTGCCAACTTTCTAAGTGCTTTGGTGCTTTCATGTCACACATTGTGCTGACATTATTTATGATTTACCATGATCGTAACATTCTTCATAAGACATGTAAATTGTACCATTATTTGATGCCTTACTTTAGTAGACAAACATTGTATCTTTAGTACATTTAAAGTTAGCATGTTGCAGAATTAAGATTATGTGTACTATTTCTGTTTCTCAGTAATCAGACTGAAACATTATGTCATTTTGGATCCAAAAGTTGATAGGGTCACCAGATGATTCGAGCCTGGGCTTTCTGCGGAGCAATCATGCTAGGAGGTATGTGAAACAGCTTCCACAGTATCCAAAACAGCAATTCTCGGCAAGGTTTCCTAATATGTCCCCAGCAGCCACTGATCTGTTGGAGAAGATGCTCGTCTTTGATCCCAACAAACGCGTTACTGGTATTGAAGAAAACCATTTTGTATTTACATTTACAAGTATTCCCCTTTAAAATGGAAAACACTCGCTTGGTTCATCTTTGATTAATCTTCTTTATGTGCTAATCTGTTTGCAGTGGATGAGGCACTGTGTCACCCATACTTAGCCTCCCTCCATGACATCAATGATGAGCCCATCTGCTCGGCACCTTTCCGCTTTGATTTCGAGCAATCATCCTTGACAGAAGAGAATGTGAAAGAGCTCATCTGGAAGGAATCAGTGAAGTTCAACCCAGATCCCGCTCATTAAGTGAATATGACAGGACAAATTGCTTTGCTTCTGCTACAAAAGGTAGTCTTCTGCAGTTTTTACTCCTGCATACCCTGCTTATTCTTGGAGGAGACCGCCTTTTTAGGTAAATGAAGCTGTTTGTCAAGAGTCAGCACCCAGTTCTTTCATTCCAAAATGTTAGGCAATTTGGACTATGTATTTAGCTTCGGTTCCTTGTAAAAGAGTTGATAAAATAGGAAAATAAGGAAATTGGAGTTCCTCTATAGCTAGAATTTTAGATTATGGACAATTATATGACCTCTTAAATACTTTATTTTAGTTTATTTTGTATAACTTGCTCAGAACTTCTTGACTCTGTATATTTACTGAAGTTGAATACATTCTCTGCATTCAGCCCTGTATTCAATCAGAACTACCTTCTATTATTGCAATTTCTCATCCTTGGTAACTAGAATATATAGTATGTCTGGTACATGTCATTAATCCTTTAAGTAACGGCGTGTTATAAAATTCATACATAAACTAAAATATTTTAAGAAATGTGACAACTCTTCCGTGACCATCAATTTCTGATAGAGCGAGTAAAATTATTCTCTAGGCAAGGAATCTAGTATATCTCGGTACCATAAGATACAGGGTAGTAGAGAAGGTTTAAGTTTTTTTTTTTTTTTTCCTAATTTTCTTTAGACACATTCATAGTAGGTATTGAAGTTTTTTTTAAATTTTTTTTTATCAGCTTCTCAAATCCTAATTTCATTTCCATAAATACACTGATATGTATGTTTCTCTTAAGGTAGCTCCCTTTTTCTTTGGTAGGGGGGATTGAAACACACTCCAAAGATCTAATTGAAACTGTATATGATATCACATTGTAAAATCCTTCATTCTCTATGGCAAAAGCAATAATACATTTCAGACAGAAGAATAGTAATGTAAACTTTCATTCATATCTTCTTTGGGACTGGCTTCTCATCCATCAAAGATACCTCTTTCTCTCGTAAGAACATGTTTGGAGTTTGACATCGTCGATTGGCAAAGGATCTTTAGGATACTCACATTCTGTTTTATGATCAGCTCCTTGATCAGCCAATGCATCACAAGGTTTAGGTGTGACATCGCTTGAGATCCCACCAACATCAGTGCAAGTCCACTGAACTTTCTTTGGTTTAGCAGCCAGCGTTATGGTCACATTCGATATACAAATTTCAGTAAAAGGATCACCCGAAATCCCTTCTAACCTAGCTGCCATTTTCACATGATCAGCTACCATATCTCTGTAGTTAATGTTTTTTATGGTAGGAAGAGCATTCGGATCATACTTGTCATCAGGATGTGACCCGTAATTCCCTGTCATCCAAAACGCCCATTTCATGGTATGCATTGTAAACCCTTTCACATATATATCCTTCACAAAACCTCCTCGTCCTGCTCCTGTCTTGATTCTCACCCCTGACTCCGAGTTTATGGCCAATATGTTCTCTGCCCTGACATCTTGTATTCCACCTGACATTTCGCTACCTAAAGCAATCACAGCACTTGTTGGAGAAATGCATGTTAAACGACGGATTATGAGCTGCTTCGTGGGCATTCCGAAGGAAATTCCATACTCATCCCACCCACTCTTGACAGCAACACAATCATCCCCAGAGACAATGTAGCAGTCTTCAATTCTAGTGTTTGTGCAGGAGTCTGCATTAAAAGGGCAGGGCAAAACACATGTAATTAGATTAACAACTTTTCTTTCTCCATATCATGTATAGAGAATTAGACAAAGGCCCCTTAATATAGTTAATACACCGCGAGGTACAAAAATTTGTACATTTCAACACATTAACAATCGCAACCATTTAAGGTACCACTACAACAATCCAACGTATCACCATAACCACATGTACTGTCACAACTGCCTTCTTCACTAGGGATTGGAGTTTTATTGCACCTCTCAGAGAATCACAGAACATTTTTCGATAAGTTATCGTTAACCAATCTCGATTAGTATACAAAACTAGAAAATTTAATCAAAAGAACCTAAACATACCTGGGTTAATCCCATCAGTGTTAGGAGAGTTAACTGGAGCACTGATTGTTATGCCTTGAATTATTATATTGCTGTCATTATGAAAAATTATCATTAGATTATATAAAAAATGCAGTAAATGATGTTTCAAAAAAAAAAAAAAAATGCTGTAAATGATGCTTAAAAAGATGATGAAAGTAAGTTTACCTGCTATAAACGGGATGAATGTTCCATGAAGGTGAATTAATGAGTGTGACGTTCGATATTTGAATACCGTCAGAATACAGAAGCTCTATTAAGTAAGGCCTTGTATTCTTAAGCTGCTTATGATGGAATTTCTGCCACCACATTTCACCTTGACCATCAATTGTGCCATTTTCCCCTGTTAATAAAAACATAGTAACTCCATATTAATATACAAGTATTGTTTAATGTCTATAAATACTAATATACTATGATTAGACAAACTTTGGTTACAATATGAAAGTGCATGCTGATTATAATTTCTGAGTAGTGTACCTGTTATTATCACATCTGTGAGGTTGCTACCAGTGATTAGGCTGGCATATCTTCCACCACCATCCCTTCCATGACCATATGATGGCAAGGGCGCGATCAATGGCCACTCGCTCATGTCCTGTTATAGTAGGAGTAATTTGTGTTTTAGCATATGATAAAATGAACTATCACCATCTTTATTTTTCTATATTTACGGGTTGATCTAGCATACTACACGTTGTTTAGAGGTAGTAAACGTGTCATTTGGATGTGATTTAAATGGTTCAGGCCATATTTAAGGGTTCAGCCATTTGGTAAGGATCTTACTAGTGACTGAAATTATCAGGTTGGTTTGGATCGGGTTAGGTTCAACAAATATCGAGTACAAGTCGGATTTTGGTCACCCAATGTGTTTTAAGCAATAACTCTAATAGCCAATCCAATAGTATGTCATTATTATTATATTTACTAACAAAAACCACTCAATAATATTTCATTATAATTACAATATCAAACAATAGTAAATAATTAGGAGGTTAAAAATAAAAGGATAAAGAACAAACCTGAGAAGCTAAAAGAACAGCATCCTTGTGAAGAAAAAGTGTAAAATGATTAGTAAGATTAAAGCTTCCAGTTAACCATTTTCCAGCAGGAACAAACAGCAAACCTCCACCGTCCGATTGAAACTGGCTAAGATGATCAACGGCTGTCTTAAAAGCTTGAGTATTAGAGGTGTTTCCATCACCTACACCACCAAAATCAGTAATAGAGGCACTATGACTTCTGCAGTTCATTGCAACATACTCAAAATTTTCTAACACTGCCCTTGTTTTTCTTCCTTCGACGCCTTTCGAATCCATGATTATTCCTACTAAGAAAACTAAACAAAATAATACTACACCCATTTTTTGTACCTGAAACAAAAATTTATTTAGATAGAGAAGAAAATAATTAATTAAAATGTAAACAACGTTTTATACAAAAGAACATATAAAGGGATGTAGTTTAACTATGTTTCTTGTTACCTTATAAGTTGTTAACGAAATTCCTTTTAGATGCATTTTTTTTGGGAATAATGTGGTTTAGTTTTGGATTGTATGAATGATGAATTTGTGTGTGAATTTATATATTAGAGAGAAAGTGGAAGAAAAAGTTTTGTTTTTTGGGTCCCAAAATGTAATAATATAAGGTTAATTAATTAACAAAGTTCACGGAAGTTATTACTGTTCTCATAATGGTTATGGACTGACCTTATATTATTCTTGGATTTTAGCAGCTAGCCAGCTAGTAGTTTGTTTTAATTTTATCCTATAGAATGTGCTATGGAGTATGGAGTATGGTCGTATGGATAATGGGTCATGTGTTGGTTGTCGTGACTTGTGATACGGAGTATAGTCTAGCACATTCATGAGCTACTCGAGTCGAGCTTGGTATAAATATACCGTCAAATCGAGATGAGATGTATAAATTAAATTGAATAAACTCCATTCAGTAACCTATCAAAGAAGGGTAGGTGGGTAGCAACAAATTCAAATTTGTGACGCAATTATTCTTGCCTGGCCAAAGTTATGTGCACACAACATTAACTCTTGATGACGTTCGTTTACTGGTTCTAGAGTTGTGCACACAACTATATCTTGGCCGCTTAACTTTTTTTTGGTGTTTAGAGAGCTACAAGGGTGAGTAATGATAATCGATTCCAGGATCACCTGAAAGCGGGAGGGTAGCTCTAACGACTTAAGCTATCCATCTTAACCGCTTAACTTTCATTGATAACACAAAATGTCATAAACCAAATTCTCATTGGATTGGAATTTTAAGGTTTTATATTTTCAATTACACTTTAGTTTACCTTATCTGATCTCATTCTCATAAACGTATCAAAAAGTCATGTTAGGTAGTTTGAAACACGATAAGTATAAACACTATAAAGTAAACAACCATACATATGGACAAATTAATGTAGCATAACGTGCATAAGGATTTACCAATGCAATATACTCCGTAGTAAAAGGATAAGATAAATTATCAAATAAACAGCGTCCACTATGAAAACAGAAGAGCACACTCAAGACCCACTACTACTTGTTGCTTCCAAAACAAAAACTACCACTAATTAAATTAATTGGTTAGTTTAGTCGTACATTCTTAGTTACACAACAGCCTTTTTAAAAAAAAAATTAGTACTGCCATTTACAAGAATAGCTCCAAACTTATTGTCAATTAATTATTATTCCCCTCAAAGCTTTTTAGTGGAGGTCCAATCAAATGGTTGTTGCACTAACCTATATTAATAGCATTGAGCAAATAGAGCAAACTTTCTGGCCAATATTTAAGAACAAGAATGTGTAAGGTCATGTACCCTATAACTTTTTTTTTTCTTTTCTTTTCTAAAGTAAGATGTTCGGGTTTCTAAATTATATTTGGTAGGTGATAAGAAATGACAACAAATGTAACATAATACAGCCCAATTTCACCTAATTTTCACTTATTTCACTTATATTAAGTTTAGATAAATTCAGTTAATTTCTATTCAGGGAAAAATAGTTTTTGATAAGGGTTACTTAAGTTCAAAGTACAACTAAAATAGGTTTTAATAAGTTCAGGTAAGTTCTGATAAGATAAGTTAAGTTTAGATGAGTAAAAATCAGGTGAATAGTGTTGGCAGATAATTAAGAAACATAAAGAAAAAAAATAAATGGTTATTAAATAACCATGCATTACCATTGAAAATTAAAGGTGTTTCCAAATATAGGGAAAAATAACTAATGGTAATAAATATTGCAGGCTAAATTTTAAATGGCTTAGGTTGTTTTAGGAAAACTATAAATTGAGCATTTCCTTCATTTGTATGTAATAATTTTCAAGAGAAAATCTGAGAGAAGAAAAATAACTCAGAGAAAAGAGGGGTTGTGTTTTTTGC